GGAAGTGGAAACAATTACATCCATTTGAGCCAGAAGGTGCTCAAAGGGATAGCCGCCCGCTTCATGCTGTACTGGCTCACCCCTATCCTTTGTGGGATTGCCAATCGGGAACCAAACAATCCAAGGGCTGTGCAACTTGTCTCTGTGTTTACTAGTGTTTAACGTCGCTGCTTGGAGTTTCTTCTCACCCACGGGTTGGCATTCCAGGTATCGGGCGAACATATTCATAGCTTTGACAAGCATCTACACAATCATCGCCGAAAGTGGGTCATTTAGCAGCAACAGTGTCCCAAGGCAGTTTCTAAAATTGTTTGGATGTAACACCAACACCTTGACTTGGCCCAAGGAAGTTCTTGACCCCGGAGGTGTGCAGGCAGATCAAGACTTTGTACGAAGAGTTTCGCAAGTCATATAATTGCCACTTAGCTGATGGGTGGTGAGACTTTGCATTACTTGGTGGGGCCCTCTTGCATGCCCTAAGACATGGCCGGCTGGCACCTTCGGCATGGGATATTCAGATGGCCGCTGTATCCAAAGTTACATGCCTCTGAACACCTGCCACCCGGCTAAAGACTTCTTGCGACGCGTGCTCAACACAGTTCTTCCCCCCGTGAAACCTCAGGTTCATTGACCAAACATGGCTGTGGAATCCCAGACACATCAGTTGCACTCTAGATGAAGATTTAATACATTACTGCAAGACCCTTGGCCTATTCTATGTCTGTGTTTGTGTACACGTTTGATTTTCTTCCAAAACCACCGTGATTTAGCCAAGGAAAATATGCAAAAACGGACACCCACGAACGATGGGTGTTCGTGCGCTCCAGCATTACTGTGCGACAATGTGTTTCACCTGGCTTGGAAGCGACATTTTGAGGTCGTAAAAGGGGGTGCTCCAACTGTTCGGCGAGGTTTCCCATGTAGTTCCTTCCCCCCCACTATTAAGAAACAAACATAGAACACTTTTTTTGAACATATAAACATATGTGGCTCAAGAATGGCACCTGTTGAGCCTCGTGATTTAAACAATGCTGTTTCTGACTGTTTGCCAGTCAGTTTGCACAGGGCTGTCGCAGGTTGATGAGAGGGCGTTCTTGCACAAAAACTATGGGTTGTAAAGTGTTGATGCACTCTTGGGACCGCCTTGAATCTTGTTCCAACGAGCTCTTTCTCAAGTGTGTTCTTTTTAGCATGCGCTTGATCCTTCTCAGGAAGGAGGCTAAATCGCTTATAAGGTCTCAGCACGTAAAAGTGATTTATATGGTCTCACAGTCTGTGTTGGGACCTCTTCCACATTGATGGCCTTGACTCCGATCATCTGTGAGGCGAGGACTGCAAAGGCCAAGTGGTTGGGGTTGCCGGTCCGAGTGATGGCATGGCGTCTTGCGCTTGCCAGTCGCTCTGCTACGGTCTTCTTCTTCGATGCCTGAAAGGAGACATCTGCCTGTAGTGAAAGGCGGTGTGAACGAAGACGGTCAGCAAAGAGCTGTCTGGCGGCATACTTGGTGACTCCATCGGCCAATTGAGCCTCGGACGAGACCCATTTCAACCGGGACTTCATTCCCTGCATTTTCTGTTTGGTCACCATGACCTCAATCTTTGTCCTCTTGTCGCCCTGTAGGCTGGGAGTTTCAGCCTTGAGCGAGTCGTAGAGCGCCTTGGCGTCGACCACCAATGCTGAGGGCATAGTGGGTGTGAACTCATCCACCTGACGGAGTTGGAAGTCGTGCTGGGTGCACCCTTCCCAGAAAATCAAGCTTCTCCAGTCCAGGACAATGTAGTCCTGTGTTGAGCCATCTTCCAAGATCTGCTGGTTGCAGAGGAAGATCACATAGCCACCCTGGGATTCGCTGTTGCGACGAACCCCCCAAGCTGCATCGCTCATGGCCACCATACATAGCTTCTCCATGTCCCCTCCAAGATCTCTGAAGATCAGGCCAGTGTCGTTGTTGTTCTTGGCGTCGCCGGTAGCGGCTGTCACTTCGCCGCAAAGCAAAGATACTGAAGCGCTCAGATGTGGAGAAGTTTGAGTTGCAGGCCATTGAAGTGCGCCTAGAAGAGCTCTAAGGCAACTCTGTTCTTTGTAGTTGAGGTCACGGTTGGCGTCATAGTCATTGCACGTCATGGGCTTGACCTTCTTGAGGTACTCGCTCTGGTGCAACTTGGACTCAGTGTTGTCTCGGCTCAGGTGGCAGCCACAGAACTCCAGAGGCTTGTCGCCTTCTTCAGGTCATCCACGTGGAGCCCCACCATGGAGATCAGGTTCTTGTTGGAGTCGTGGTAGGTGAACAGGCACTGATTCAATGGGTGTGCTCTGTATCCAAGACCTTCTAGTCGGCGCCTTGCCACAATGAACCATTGTCTTGGTGCGTCGGCTTGACCGTAGATGGGCTTGATCAGCCTCATCAATGTTCCAGCAGGAACACCGATGATGTCGCAGGCATCGCGGGGAATCCGCGCCCAAAGAACACGCTCTTGAGGATCACCTTGAAGGAATGCCGTACTGACGTCGGCTGTCCACCTTTTCCAGCCACAGACTTGGCTGATTGCCAGCAACGCCTGTCGGGAGGTCCTTGCCAAAGTGGGCGATGAAGCGTCCAATGCACCAGTCAGCAAATCGGGATCGGAGAACCCTTGAACAACTAGGCGGGCCTTGGCCTTCAGGCCGCCCTTGCCGTCCGATGCCCATTTCAGCACAAGGCGTGCCTTCATCACTCTGTTGTGGTCAACGGAGGCGGGGTCGGTCTCGATCTCCCAAACTCCATTCTCAAAGATGCTTGAGAGCTCTGCCTTCTTGCCCTCGAGAAAGGTCAGGCGGTCCTCTAGCGACATCCGACGTTCATTGAGGTCGGCGCTCTCTTTGACATGCTTCTTGCGAGGAGAGCCAGCACCAACTGCCTGCCAGATATGGCCACGGCCACGCAGGGTCTTGCATCGTCCAAGCTTGTTGGTGAGGTCGCCGGTGTAACGCCTCAACGTGGTCAGAGCGACCGAAGTATACTTTTGAGGTTCGTTGGAACCTGTCGCGAGCTTAGTCCCCCCCCTTCCCCTTCCCTCCCCCTTTCTTTCTTTGCTTTTTCAGGATCACCCCTTTCCTTCTTTGGTGTGTCCCTGGACGATTTTTCGTAGCTGGGACCACCTGCCTTTTTCATTTCTCTCCTCTCCCTTTCTCTCCCTCTCTCTCTCTCTCTTTCTTTCTTTCTTTCTTTCTTTCCTCTCTTCCCCTTCCTTCCTCCTTGGGTGTCCCTGGATGCTTTTGTCATAGCTGGGAACCCTTCTCCTCTCTTCCTTTGGTGTGTCCTTGGACGCGTGCGTCGTAGCTGGGAACACCTTCCTTTCTTCTCTTTCCTTTTTCTCGTCTCTCCCTACCCCTCCCTCCTGTCGGGACCTTAGCTTGGGTTGCTACTAGGGTACTAGGTGCTAGGTTGCTACTTTGACGCTACTAGAGGTTCCTGGCCTTACTACTACTTTGTCCGCACCTTCAGTTCGCCTCCCCTCGGGGAGGCGTGTGTGTGTGTGCCCCTTGTAATTACAGGGATTCCGTTGAATTGTTATGTTTTCTTTTTCAGCAGGGGAGTGGTGGGCATTCTTGAAGTCACCGCTCAACGAAGACACTTCAAGTTTGCTGTGATATGCAATCTGGACGCAGATTGCACGTACCTGCCTGATTTTTAACCTTTCCTGCAGACGTGCACGCTACGACGTCACCCTGTCGCTTCGCTCCCGGCTTACGCTTTGGGCCACGTTTCCTTTTGAAGACCTCCAGGATCCAGGGATTCGTACTTGTACTCTTAGGAAATGGTACCCTAGGCCGGCGTGTGGCACCGCTGTCAGTCAGTACGCATATCCATAAGTGTGTGTCCACACCTGTGTCCAAGGAGTTTACACTGCGTAAGTCACCTCGAGTGGAATGTAGGCATGTTGCAGGGGGGTAAGGCCTCCAGCGATGAACCTTGTCCAACGAAGCTAAATCGCTGGAGGGGAAGCGGATGGAGACGTCCATTCGTGTACCTGCTTGCCGGCGATGCAAAACAGTGTACACCTGTTGTTCTCGGCCCTTTATAAGGTCTGTTTCCAGGTCCCGGTCGTTTCTGCAGTAAAGTGCTTTAATGCATCCGTGATCCAGCAACTGATCCAGCTCTTGCGAGCAACGTTCTAAGTGTATGGGAGCGACACTCTAATTAAAAAACAATGACATAGACATCGCATCGCACTCTCAAACGGTGTCTACACCTTTCTGTTTAATAGAAGCACTAGAATACAATATATATATAATTATATATAATATACAGTATATGCGCAGGCCTAACGTCCTGAGGTAGCCCTTGCAGAGGGCACTTACACTGTCACCTCTGTGGTACCCCCAAAAATGGATGCTAGAACCCTCGGCCTTACTGTTGGGGTTCTTGGGCCCCCTCCCACTCAGTGCTCCTTGGGTCCACCCCCTGGATGTTTGTTTCCCTTGTCCACACAACAGTAAAAAAACTCAAGAAGTTAGGCTTGCCAACCGGCTCCACCGGTTCAAGTGAATCTGGCTGTGAACTGATGCTGCTCTCTTACTGGCGCAGCAAAACCTTTACTCCAGCAGCTCCAGCAATCCATTCTCAGTGTCCATGGCGCAGCAACCTTTACTCCAGCAAATCCGTTCTCAGTTTCCACGGCGCAGCAACCTTTACTCCAGCAAATCCTCTCTCAGTTTCCATTTTGATTTTTGACAGAACTGAAGCATTTGGTAGCTGAGCACATGACGGCTGATCAATCTATATAAACTGACAGCCACATGCCACGAAATTGACTTGTGCCACACTTGGAAAACCAATTTATGACCAAACGCCGATAACATCAAACAATGACAGTCATGCAGCCACGAGGGCCTAAGAGATTGGTCGAAGGTTGGGGTTCATCAAACCACGCCCACACTGCACCGGCCAGCGGAAAGCCCGTAAAACCATATACAGTAAAGGCTCTGCGCACTCGATCTTTCTGCAAAACTGAGCGGCCATGGACGCGGCTCGAACAGAGGGTGGAACAAACATTGCTTCTTTGCCTCAAGTCGACTCCAAACACTTGGACTGTTGAAGCGTATTCAGCAATGACTTTGCCACCGGCCTGATGGACTCTGAGGATAGCCTCGGAACACTTGAAGTTCCATTCCTCGAACAGTCTTACACAACATCTGCACAGTTGGGTTTTGGCACCACTCCTGGCACAAACATGGTTTCTTGCTCTGCTTGGAATCTGGCAGCGGGCTGAACACTCATCGAAGGATTTGTGTGCCTCCTCAACAAAATCTGGTGGAAACTGCAAGAACTGAGTAGCTACGCAACCAGAAAGCCGTTGACAAAACACAAATTCCAAAGCGTTGCAAAGTTGCAAAACCGTATGCGTCTGCTTGTCATGGCACCTGGCAGGAAGAACCGCAGCTTTTCAATTCGCACCGCGACTGGCAATGAGCATACTCCTGCATCCGGCGTCAACAGCACATCTTACGAGGAAGACAGCTTCATTCGCAAACCTTTTTGGGAATTTTGCAGGGAATTCTAGGTGACGCTTTTGCGATCCCTGGGCAGGAGCCCCTAGTAGTGTCCTTCCTCCTAGTAGAAGTAAGGCCAGGAGCCCTAGTAGCGTCCTTTGCCAGGAGCCCCGGTAGCGTCCTTGCTCCTAGTAAGGCCAGGGGCCCCTAGTAGCGTCCTCGCTCCTAGTAGTAAGGCCAGGAACCCCGGTAGCGCCCTTGCTCCTAGTAAGGCCAGGAGCCCCTAGTAGCGTCCTTGCTCCTAGTAGCGATGCCCTTTGGATTCGCGGAGTTGGAATTGATTCGTAAGATGAAATTTGTTTTCGCCCTTGCGGACCTTTCCTTCGTTTGCAGGCGTGCGTCAAAACATGATGACTATCTTCGGGGCCGCCGCCCACCAAATCGGGCCGTCGGGTTCAGGGTTTCAAGAAAGAACATGGCGGGAGCAAGATGTCCGTAGCCGCCCAAGGAGAGGGGAAGCGTTCGCTGAGTGCGGGGTTTCGCGAGCAAACTTGAGGCCGAGGGTTGGTGACGAATGCTAGCAGGGCTGGGGTGAAGCGGGGGATATCCGACCGAGAATGGTAAGAAGATATATAATAAGACCCTCCCAAACTGACCAAGTCTTCCGAATTCGAGGGGCGAAGTGCTTGGTGTGGGGGGTGTGGGTGGATTCTGGTACAGAATTCTTGATTGGGTCACATTTCCACGTCTGCTGTTCAGATGGTCGAGACAGATCGGTGCTTCTTGCTCGCCACAGGAACTGTCAGCCCCCTGCCAGCGGAAATACACACATCCCAGAGACGTCCCAGGGAGGAGTTGAGCCCGCTAGGGGGCGAGGGTCAAATCCCCCGCAGTGGAGCGTGTAATACACAGTATCATACAGTATCCCTGGATCAACTCACAGTCCAACAAGGTTCACAAGAGCGAGTGAGCACAGGCGAAGGAAGTTGCTTTTCACACGCAGAATGGTAACTTGAGCCAAACGTTATGGCATGGCTATGCAATGCGTAAGAGCACATCACAACAGGAACCAGGTTGAAGCAACAGCGTAAACAGGAGCCCAAAAACAAGAAACAATACATACACAAATTTTCTTTGCTCTGTAGCGTGCAAATGTCACGCGGCTATACAACCTCAGGCTGAAAACCAAAGCTACCCTGAACCTCCTAGAACCCTCATTTAAGGAGTCCGCTCTTAAAGAACATTGACAGCGCGGGCAACCCGGCCGGCCGTCGTCGTCGTCGTAGTAGTAGTGGTAGTAGTAGTAGTAGTAGTCGTAGTAGTAGTAGTAGTAGTAGTAGTGGTAGTAGTAGTAGTGGTAGAGCTGGTTGTTGTCCAGGCTGTTGCATGGGGTCTGATGGCTGGATCTGCCTGGGTCTCCCTGAGCTGGTAGCTGTCCAGACTGTTGCATGGGGTCTGATGGCTGGATCTGCCCTGCAACTCCATGAGCTGGTAGCTCTCCAGGCTGTTGCATGGGGGCTGCTGGATAGCTGTCCAGGCTGTTGCATGGGGGCTGCTGGCTGGATCTGCACTGGGGCTGCCTGAGCTGGTAGCTG